GTTTTATTTAAAATGTAGTATTAGCAAGTGAATAACAACATACGAAACCTATTTCAGTGATTATATAAAATATTAAATATTATTGTGTTACAAAACACACTTCTATATGATATGGTAACAACATGTATATATATTCATTAAGAGGATTGTTTTGAATTAATTACGTTTTGCTTTTGTTTTGTTTTTTTCTCCTCAGTTATAGCAAAAAGATGCGATGTGAACAATGGAGACTGTACGCACTTCTGTCACTCATTAGGAGTCTTTAGAGCAAAATGCTCCTGTGCTGCAGGATACAGACTGATGCAGGATGGTGTCAGCTGTGAAGCAGAAGGTATCAGCTTATTCCTGTTATATTCAATATCATATTAATGACTTTATATCAATCCTCTTTTCTCACATCACCAGTTGAATTCCCATGTGGCACAACTGCCCTGACAGCACAGAGTGGATCTGTGCTCCACTATGATAATGCAAACACCACTTCACTGACCAACACGAACACTACTCCATACCCTCCCTCAACTCCAGCCCCTACCACAGTATCGTTTATGGACACAAGAAATAGACTAAAGAAACTGCCCCTGTGGGTATACAGTGACACTGAGGCCCCCACTGAGGAGCCAATAACGCCTTATAAACGTATCGTCGGAGGTGAAGTGGTCCTACCGGGAGAGATCCCATGGCAGGTACTGTAATGCCACGAAGCAGACATACCCAATGCAATTTAAGCAGTTTGCTACAGGAAGTACATACAGGAAGGAAACTCTGGTAGTGGCTAATTCTCAGCTCAGGTCTTCTCTCTTTTTCAGGTAGCCTTGGTAGCACATCCCAGAGGTCATATATTCTGTGGGGGATCCATTCTGAGCGAACACTGGGTTATCACTGCTGCTCATTGCCTGATAGAGGCACAAGGCTCCTTCTTCGTCAGAGTGGGTAAGGCTGACATACAATAAAATGGCGCTGTTTAGAGTATTACTGCGTCTACTCAACTTAACAGCTACCAGAAAACAAATGAATATTAACTATTTGTGATAACTGGCTCTCCTGTTTCTGGTTTCAACAAGGTTACAAGATTTCATCCTTTTCTTTTTTTGTGATAGCAGCTAGGGATGCACCAATACCGATACCGGTATCGGTTATCGGCCTCGATACCACATTTTCTAAAGTACTCGTACTCGTTAAAAGTCCCCCGATACCACGGTCTGAGACCTGTCTATGTTTGAGCGGCATTTAAGGGTTAATCACAGTCGCCGAGTGCCCGTGTGGAACTATTTCAAAGTGAACGAAGACCCGAAAACAAAGGCGGACTGCAAATTGTGCTCAGTGAAATTGTCCAGAGGCTCAAAAGGTAGCGCATTTAACACAAGTAATTTAATCAAGCACCAAAATCCCAACACGACAACGCGTACAAAGAGTTTACCCACGCTTATTTACCCACGCTTATTTACCCACGCTTATGTGTGTCCGAGCACGAACTCCCTGACTATCTCACCGCTCACCAATGGGCTCTTATGGAGACGACTGTTGCCATCCTCGCCCCCTTTGAGGAACTAACTAAAAAAG